GGCCTCATTGGTCCTCTGAGCAATCGCAGTTCTAACGTCTGAGTATAAAAAAAACCTTAAACTGCTTTTTTATCTTAAAAGTCTAACTTATTGAAATAATATTTAAGTGTAAAAATTTTTAAAACTATAGTGGTTCACTCGTATAAAAATGCCTGGCAATTTATTTTACTTAAAAATATATATATATATATATCTGAAGAAATAAAATAATCAGGTAGATTATCTATTTGGCAATGAAATTGAATCGCAGTTTTTTTTTACACAATGTTCAAAACCATTAAAAATATTGCTGAAAGTTAAGAGCAAATTAAGAAAATAATAGTAAAAAAATTTGAAAAAAAAGTAGAGCTGCTTGTCGAAAACTACAATATTAAATGATTGATTTAATCCCTTAATGATTACGAGGAACAACAGAGAAAAACCGTTTTTATCAGTAAACAGTTTTAAATTGTCAAATATACAGTGAAAGTGAGTGAAAGGAACGTGAATTTTTTACAAGTGTACATTTTACTTATGCATTTATTGATTCATATATCTTATTTATATACTTATTGGCACATGTATTTTATGTAAGCCAAAGTCAAGGGAATGAAAAGTGATTGAAACGAAAATCGCAGTAAAAGTACGCTTCTTCCATTTTCAAACGAAATCTTGCCAAATTCGCAGTTTTACTTTTTCACTTAGAAAACATGAAAAACAATAATTATGTTTTCTTCAACTGATTACAATAAGCATTTCTTTCTTTTTATTAAAAAAAATAAATAAATAGTTCACGCTATACCACTCACTCAACTGATTACTGCAAATCTTTTTTTTTACAAGTGTATATTTTATTTATGCATTTATTGATTCATATATCTTATTTATATGCTTATTGGTACATGTATTTTATGCAATCCAAAATCACAAGAATGAAAGGAGAGTGATTGAAAAAAAAAAGATTGCAGTAAGTGTACATTGCTTTAAAGCAATGAAATCTTGTCAAAATCGCAGTTTTATTTTTTCACTTAGAAAACATAATTATTGTTTTTCAAATAAACATTTCTTTCCACGCATTGGTTCCTTTTAGTGCAAAAAAAAAAAATAAATAGTTCACGCTATAACACTCACTCAACTGATTGCAGTAATTCTTTTTTTCCTTCGAAAAAAAGAAAAAACAATTTTTCTTTTCCTCTGCATATAAGTTGAAAACTTGCATTAATGGTGCCTGGGGGAATGCGTAACATATAAATGCCTGGTAGCAATATCGAATTCAAAACCTTTCTATTTGGAAACGTTTCCAAATTCTGAGATAAACGCTAATGACTGTTTGGAGAACCCAATGGGAAACCGTTAACGAACCAATAATAACCTAATATCAGGAGAAGAAATGGGGATCTATTGGTTTCTGATAACAGTTCGAACAACGGCTCTTAACGAATGAGTCAAGCTCATGATAATAAAACCAAGTTGGAAGTCATTTTCGCTAACATTTTTATTTTTATTTTTAGTATTTCGACAAACACTATTCATTAGAATTTTGAATATGCTGGTTTCTGCCTTTTATAATAGGTTTTTAGGCGTCGTATTGAATTGCAACCTGGGCGGTCCCACTTTTAATCTTAGATTGTAGGTGCTGAAAATATAAAAAAAATTATTAGTGTCGTTTAATTAGACTTACTAAATTGTATAATGTAATTGCATCTTATCATTTATCTTACTATATATAAAATTCTAATGATGGTGTCGCAGTTTTCCATTGTTGTCGGTGCATTTTTATTGGCCAGAAAATCACGTGGTGTGATCCAGTTTTTCCTCATTCGTCTCCTTATTGTTTTGGTTGTAGTCAGCATAAAATTAATAAAAGTCATGCTTTTCTTTAAATATTTTTGAATCCCTAACTTAAAGTTATTTTCCTGTACTGCTATTATTACGCTTTTAATTCAAGAGTTTAAAACTAAGAGAATTGCTGTTTTCTTATTAGTATTATAATGTAAATCTGCCTTACATTTTAAGATAAAGTTATTTAGAAAGGTGGTCTAACAATTATTATTTTTGAGCAAATAACATTAATATACTGTTATAAATTACAGTTAAAGAGATCTGTTAAATGATTTAGAACTTAAGGATCAGCTTCATGCACAATGAGATGCAGGCAAAAAAAAAATATTTAATATATCCTACCGTTTGGTAAGTGAAAATATTAAATTAAGGATGTGAACTCATCAAATTTGTTTCAACAATATAACGTTATAACAACATAAATGTTATTTAAAAAAATGATTACTTAGAAAAATCACTTCTGTTTACCAATAGATCTAAATATCTAATATATATAATTCTCTTACGTGGCTCCCAAATTTTGGCTGTATTTCTTTTCCGCCGGTGGCAACGTTTGCTTTGTTTTGCTTACGCTACTATTTCTGTTACACGGCGAATCGACCCATGATTGCCGCTAAAAATGTCACATGCCAAATCTATCTGAGGTGACTCAACATATAGCGCTTTTAAAAACGGAAACTGAAATAACCAGAGAGCATCAGCTGCGGCAATCTCATACTATTAAGCTAGGCAGAAGTGAGTAGTCTTTGTCGATAGATCTCTATTTTAGTATTTTGTCGAAAGCGCTTTTTTTCACGAATTTATATATTACGAATTTATTTGACGATTTTTGATTTATATCACGAATTATACTATAGCACATTTCTAATAGGTTTAACGAATTACATGTCATTTATTTGAATTCAAATTTATTTTAATGACTTAGTATTTACTAAAAAGATGTAATTTTTTTTTAAAAAAAAAAGTTGTTATATGGATTTGAATGATTGTTTTGAATTCTTAGAATTTTGTGGATTTACAATGTACCTAAGTTAGTAGCAAGAAAAGTGAGCTTGGTTTGCGAAGCGAACCATATAAGATTGCGTAGCAATTTTCGGGGGTTGGCGAGCGTTAGCGAGCAGGGGGCGCAGCCCACTAGTAACTTATAATTATTTTATTAAATGTACTAAACCCATAACTTAAGTGTTTCTTAACTAACAATGACCTTCCGAAAAATAGGTAAATAATACCAAGAAACTGAAGCAGTAAGATATTAATTGATTGAAAATTCAAAAAATATACAAAGATATACAAAATTGCTTTAAAAATGTACAAATAATGAAAGACTAGTCGACACGTTTCAAGTGCTTCGAAAATAGGTGCCCATTTTCAAGACTTACCAGACGGGAATGCGACGAAACAAAGGTGATAAATAACTTTTATGATTATGATTCACCTTTATGAAAAGTAATTTTTTTTGAAGGAAACGAAAATGATAAATCACCTTTGTATTTTCTTTTTCACGTCAGGCAAGTCCTGATACTGAAGGCCTATTTTTGTAGCGCTTGAAACCTGTCCACTGTTTCTTTCTTTTTCTTATTTGTATATTTTTTTAAGGGAATGAAGTTTTTAGTCAGGTAATACCTTCCGGAAATGCTTGCCACATAATTTATTAAGGTTACAATCGTAATTACTTAAAAATTGTTTTTTTTTTCTTTTTGCAGTCGGCAAGTGATAGCGATCAGGCTTCGAAAACCTCTGAAATTAAAATGAACTACATATAATTTTAAAGGCAATGTTAAATGCACTGAGAATAAACATTCTTACATCAGATGTATTTATTCAATTTTATTTCAACAAACATATATTATAAATTTACAAGATATTTCAAATTGAAGACATAGAAATAATTTTGATTTCAATTTTAGTTAGTTCTTACACCTCACTTAAGAATCTTATAAAAATAAATACAAAATCTTTTTTTTTTTACTAAAACTATTATGTACAAAAACATCACAATAGAATATTGAACTAATGAACTATTACATTAACATTATCATGAAGAGAATCAAAAAACATCTGATTAAGAAAAATTACATAGAATTATTTATAATACAAAGTTTTGTGGTGAAAACAGGGAATAGTCAAAAATTTATTTTCAGATTGCTGAAAATATTTCTCGATCAAAAATAATTAATATTTATCATAAATAATGTATCTCTTTCATTTTTTACTAAGTCTGATCCTTTTTAATGAATGTTCGTTTTTAATGACTAAATTGATTCAGAACCACGTGTCAATTCAACGCATCTATCATGAATATAAAAAAAAACAATAATAATCAAAATTATCTTCTTAAAATAATTAATAAATTTGCAAGAAATGAAACTGACTAAGATATTATGAAAAGGTTTGCACAAAATAGAACACTCATCTCATAAATGCGTGTAGCATTTAATTAAAAACCAATATATCAAGGTACAATTTTCTATTGCGGAATTTGAAAACGCACTGTTAAACATTTATCAGAAAAAATTATTAAATAACAATTTATTTAACGTTTTTTTACAGTATTCAAACGAAACAGTCAAATAACCATAAATAAAACGGTAATCAAACACTTATCAGAAAAAACTGTTAATTAACAATTTATTTAACGTTTTTTTTTTTACCATAGTCAGACGAAACAGCCAAATAACCATAAATAAGACAACAATCAAACTGTTAACTGTGAGAAAAACCCTTTATTAACTGCTTTCTCGTAATACGGTTAAACAGCAAGACTTTTATCGCACCAACTAAGCCAACCAAATGAAGCCACTTAGCTCCTCACAACTGCGTACATATTATAGCTGCAATGGCTAATGTGTCATTTTCATCAATAACAGAATTGGAGTCCGAGTCCTTGCGTTGACATCACAATAATTCCCCAATTTCCCTCAACACATTAAGAGTTTCCCGTGCCCTGCACTACCCAATGCCCATTACCTAACAAAAAGCGTAACTCTTAATGTCCAGTTAAATTTCTTTTTATGGTTATGGTTTTGAAACCATGCTAGTTGTAAATGGTTAAAAACAACCGTATAGTTCTTTATTCATGGCCTTATAGCCACGATAACAACAAAATGGTATCTAAGTAAAAAAAAAAATTAAAAACACATTATTTTTTTTTTTATTTCTCAAGATCAATTTCTCTGATTTTGTCTAAATTTTAATTTTTTTCTTCTTCAAAAGTTTATAGATGAAATATTTACTTTTGGTTATTTTCCATCTTGCAGAGATGTTCAATTATTTTGCGAACCAATCAAGTAAACAGAATTTAAATATTGTAAGATTATATTTATGTTTTACTTCTCGTCGAACTAAGTAAGATATTTTTGACAAGCCCTGTAACATATATAGCAAGTTCCTCTGTCCTTGCTTCAATATTCCTTCACAACATATAACAAACAACATACAAAGAAACTAATTGTACTCATATTTGCTCCAGAGTTTCTTTTAACATTCATTAGTCATAAAAATTATTAATATCACAATATTTTTATCACTCCTCTTCGAGAGTTTATACTCCAGCTCAAATTTTAAATGGAAGTACATTTATACTGAAAACAGCATTTTATTACTACAAAGCAATTTTCAAATTGCTTCGACCACATCAGTCCTATCATAATTCCGTCCAGCGAAATACTTGCTAAACCTTTTTTTCTTTATCCTTTACTTGTTAATCAATCATCATCATACCTTATGGTCCAGCTCAAGTGTTCATTACTTCTTCGAACACTTGCTTTAACGATGTTTCTTTGACTTCTGCCGATAATTGTTTTGGAAGAAGATTATGTATGGCCCCTAGAACTTCTTCTACCTTAAAATAGTAAAGTAACATTCGATTAATAATCAATAGAAAAAAAATTTACTTATAAATATTAAAATTTATTTTTTTCAGGAATTAATACATCCTCGTTTTAACGCTAATAAACACACTATAATATATATAGATATACATGCAATTTATAGGACCACATAGTGCACCCCCTAATAAGCCTCTAATTATTTCCTCTGGTATGGTACACTTATACCCGGTAATAATTGTTGTAGTTCTTTAACGTCGCGCTAGAGCTGCACAATGGGCTATTGGCGACGGTGTGGGAAACATCCCTGATGATGATCCGAAGACATGCCGTCACAATTTTGATCCTCAGCAGAGGGGGGCATCCCCTGCAGCCCAACGACCTCCACTTCGGTAGCCCAACGACCTGTACACGAAGTCGAGAACTTCACTTTAGAACAGTTTAACGAGGACAAATGCCGCACACCCTCGGCCCCTAAGCAGACTGATCCAAGTGGTCACCCACCAGCACACTGACAGCAGCCAGTGATGCTTGACTTCGGTGATCTGCTGGGAACCGTGTCTTAACTATCAGTCCACTGCGGGACTATCCGGTAATAAAATAAGCGGTCCAATTTGAATATTATGGATCAATATTAAGGGGAGAGTACAGAATATTCACATCGAATTTCCTCATTTTAACGCTAATAAACACACTATATATATATACATACATAGTAACATACAGGGCCGCCTTGCGTACCCCCTAATAAGCCTATAATTATTTCCTCTGGTGGGGTACCAGGCAACAATAAACTTTCTCAAAAACTACATTAAATGCAGAAACGTTAATGTTATGAATTATTTATTGTTGTTTTTTTTTAAAGAAAAGTTCTCAAATATACCTTTGGAGATGTCTAATAAATCGGCCTTTGACAATGACGTTTTAACCCATAAATTTATAAAACTTTTAAAAAGCCAGACATCATCAAAAGCACTAACATTTAAAGACATGCTCAGAGTTCTGGGATATTAAAAAAATAAAATTCAGTTAAAAATTGTGTCAAAATCCTTCACTGGTCGAGGAAGAGGAAGTCAAAAGCAACGTCGGTGTAATCAGTTTTTTTTTATTTTTATTTTTTTATTAAGGGGAGTAAAAAACTGGCAGTCTATATCAGAGAATAAATTGTTCTGATGGCATCTTCAACAGAGAGCCTTAGCTCACACTTTACTGTTGTTCAAAATATGACGAACTTATGATGTTAAATAATTAAAAAAAACTAAACTAAACTCAGTGGCGCGACAGCCCATAGAGGGCTAAGGCCTACTGTGATCATCTCAGTTTTCCTGACCTTGGGCTCTGGGGTGCAGGAGCAGATGTTCCGGTAAGGTGGTCAGCCGAACGCGGAACCCCCCGTCTTTAGTTCCCAAGCATGCTCGGTACTCATTTATCGACCCATTGAAGGGATGAAAAGCCGAGTCAACATTGCCCGGCCCGAGGATCGAACCCAGGACCTGCTGTACGCGAACAGGAAGTGCTAAGTATTTAAAAAAAGAAGGAATAAAGAACCAATTTCTTATTTCTTAATGTATATAAGTTTCCCAAAATAATTAACTACAGAAAGAAAATCTTAAAATTTTCCTTTTTGTTACAAAAATGTTTTTCATAATTATGAAGAAAACAAATTCAACACGTGATAGTATTTCTTGAGAGTTTAAGCGATCACATGCAGTTTTGAATTGTTTATCTGAGAAATTTAGTATGGATATCTTCAATAAATATTTCCTGTATTTAATTTTTACAATATTTAACAATAAAATTATTTTTGCTAATTTCGTAAAAAAAAATTAAATTTTTTTTAAATAATTTAAAAAAATTACACTTAGTTTTAGAATAAATGTATATTACTTTAAAGCAACTATTCTTAAACAAGTTTCTGTGGAGAAGTTAAGCATTAGTTAAATCTCTCTTCATAGAGATACAATCTTCTAAAATATTTTTAGAAAGCAATTATGTATTTTGTACTTGGAAGTTTTGAGAGTTAGCCGGGCGTAAAATTAAAACATCTGAAAGCCAAGAAAGAATTTCCTGAATTTATTTATTCAATGCAGATGTTGTACTGCCGTAAAGATAAGAGCCTAAATTTGAGAGAACGATAATTTTCACCTGTAGAAATTTCTACCCTCTTTCAGAAACATCTTTTGAAAGAAAATTTAATTCTCAAAAGATTTGTTTACCCCATAAAATCAGTGAAAATGACACACAATTAATAAAAAATTAAAATTCTAGTAGTTCCGTATTAAAATTAAAATTTTATATATATGTAGTACCTGGCCAAATTATTAAATCATTAGACGTACTATAAGATTGTTTGTAAAATCTTAATTATCAGATGATACTATACAGCTCCAGTGTTTTTTCGCGACTGAAACCATTTTGCACTAGTTTAGGTTCGTGTATCTATTGGTTAAATAATGCGATATATAATATAAATTCGACGATTGGATGCATAAGACGATATATTATATAAATATAAAATATTTATTATATCCAGCAATATATTAGTACTATATTATAATAATTAGATCAAATTATCAGATGCACTGTAGTTTTTNTGTGTCAATTGGTGAAATGAGATATATAATATAAATTCGATGATTGGATAAATTAGACGATATATTATATAAATATAAAATATTTATTATGTCAAGCAATATATTAGTATATTATAATAATTAGATCAAATTATAAGACGCACTGTAGTTTTTCAATAATTACATGTTTTGCACGAGTTTATATGCAATATTAAACTCGTGCAAAACATGTAATTATTGAAAAACGAGAAGATTATTGCACATGAGAAGTCCTGTGGTAATAGGAAATATTTTCATGGGTATCGAACTTTCTAGTATAGGTACTGAGGTACGTAATATAGATATTGACGCAATATATTTCTTACTGCTCAACATAAGAGTTAAATACCGAGGGATTTTGCCCAGGGTTAGCTTATGTTAAGCATAACTCCTTCCTTTTTTTTAATTGATTCGAGGCACTGCGATATCGAGGAAAATATTTGCGCTTGAGCGAAGCTCAAATAACGTGATATGATTGTGGTCAAATTTTACTATCTTGAGTTTGCCTTGGGCAATAGCATCATGCCACGTGATACTGAATACTAGTCACGTTTTATTTTGATGGGATGATATTTAGTATTTTGACTACCATTAAATCACTCAAACTACAGTAAGTATGATTTCGGAACATTTCTACATAGTAGACAGCATATATTGGAGAGTTTTCGTAGTACATCTCTCAAAGCATATGAAGAGAAAAAACATAAATTTACATCTGTCTGAAGCGTCACTATAAGTTGCTTTGTAAGTTGTGTTTCGTCGATAAAAATGACTTTCCTACAAGTTTTATGGTGTAAATCATCCTGTGTATGCATAATACATGTTTCTAACCTATATATCCACCTCCGTCCATCATAGATGATCTTCCTCCATCATCCCATTGGGAGGAAGCCACTTGAAGTTCGTCTAATAGTTCTGGAGGAATGTGTACTGAAATACAAAACATCTACTTCAATACATTTTATTCTCGATACGTGTTTTACCTAATTTTTTTAACTAGCGGTGTTATTTTGTTTGAAATCTTCTTTTTAAAAAAAGTTATCCAGTTAAGAGTATTGAAATAGTCCTGCTGGATTTAGTTTCTTAACGCTACTATTTTTTCTTTTATAATGAACTGTATAGAAAACATTATTGAAGAAATTGCTCGATATTCTATCTGATTATCAAATAAAAACGATTTAAATCTTTACAAATATTTATTAATGTAAATGTTTTATTTCGTTACTCATTAATTAAGCATCTTTATTCAGATAGTAAAAGTTTTTTTTTTTCATTTGCAGATGTTTATTTTTTTATTTGCAATTTATTCTTAATAAAATCAGTGATAAATTTAAAACGTTGCGTAAATGCATATAAAAATAATCTTGCTTTTAAGTATGCTTGAAATTTCATATAGAAATTAGAGTGTTTTTTTTTTTTTGAAGTAACAAAATTTAGTGTCTTAGACCTCGAGTTTTTAAAAGGAAAAAATTAGCCTCACAAAGGTTAAAAATTGTTTTAGTAAAGAATACCATAGATACCAAAATATACGTAGACAGGATACGTATTTGTCCACTTATTTACTCTAAAACTAACTTAAACTAAACTAACTTAATAAAATAATTATTTAATTATAAAATTTTCTTAGAAATCGATGTCTTAGGTACTATACATGTATAGGTAAATACATGTATCACGTGTTCATTTCCCTGACTTGACATAGATTGAACCAAAACAAAACATGAAATGATGTACTTATATAATGGTTTAAGTAAACGAACTTTCTGAGAGATCTAAATAGTATATAATAAAGAGTACTATATACCATTTAAGTATTATATACAAGCAAGCCTATAATACACTCCTTTTATTTTATATTTAAGGAAATTAAATAAATTAAATTTAAATAAAAAATAGAGTACCGAGCCAGCATCACGAATTCAAAACATAATTTCAGAAATTGGCATCTTCGATACCCTATCCTACGAATCAATAATATTTTTTTCTTTTAATTTGACTTTTTTTATTAATACCTTACCTCTAATGCCTTATCTAAATTTTAAATGTTCCTTACCTGGATAATGGTATATGTGCATGTCAGATTTTGGAGGCCTTGGTGTACGTTTCACTGTAGCATATTGTGGTTCTTCTTGAAGCTAGAACAATGCATTTAATATATATATATATATATATATATAATGGCCGGCACTTGGGTCCATTTCCCAATGGTTTCAAAAATGCCAGACTTGCTCCTCTTTTATTGTTACCCANAAATAACGTATATAAAATATATGTGATTATCAAATGACGATGGGAGATTCGAATATCTCGTGAAATTCCGTTTGATTATTCTCGTAGATACAAATCGTAATGTTAAATTCGTAGCATGCTTGAATATAAATCTTCATAAATTACATGAGAAGGAATCACGAAGTTAATATTGATACATGATTTTCTACACGAGACTGTTATTTTCATAAATTTATAACACAAAAAAAATTAGAACTTAAAAATGTCTCGCAGCAGGCTGCTTGACCTCGAGGTCCTGGCATCACCGAAATCAAAGGTATGAATTTTTTTCTTTCTTCCTGGTTTCAGTTCAAATATTTCCGGATACTTGATCTATAAACTTTCATGATCTATATACTCTCTTCCTCTGATTCATTACAACACATGATAGTGACTGATGTTGTATATCTGATTTTTCTTTCATTCATAAATTTCGAGAAATTCTAATGAGATTTTCTATTTTTGTTCTTTAGTTTACATATTAACTACTTTCAGAGCCATAAGTTTAAAATTTGTGGAATTCAAAACACAGAAACCTTACCTTAATTGTCACATGAAGTGTGCTGAAAAATTGCGTTTTGTTTCCTATTAGGAATTATTTTGAATCGCTAGTCTAGTTTAGGGGGGCTTTTACATAATTATAAAGAAAAGATTTATTAAATCTATTCTTATTTGGGCCACTTTACATGGTCTAGGGAAACAAACGTTTCAAACACACTCGCTTTCATTATAGTATAACAACACGTGTAATCTCATGTTTTGTTTTTAATTTTTCTCTAAGCACATATTACAAAAAAAATGCTTGATAATAATTCTGTTCATAACTGGGTATAATATTTTTCTTCATTGTCTAAAATTTCTATCATTACAAAATGTTCATCTTAAAGTACTCATGATCGCATACGTGTTAAACGTATTCGCATACGTAACGATCGCATACGTAATTTCTATTGCTTACACATTATATTCTGAATTTCATTAGGAAATGCAACTAAGAGCGAGTGAAACATTGTTGTTTAAGAGATTCGGAAATGTGAACTTCTTATACACCATGACATTCATTATATTATTACAAACTTAGAAATTGGTAGTTATTTTTAATGTCCACCTGTATACATAATATCTTAAAATGAATCTGAATTCCCTTTATAACAGTAACTAATTGCAACTATCCTCAATATCTTAAGTTTGTATGACAATAATAAGTGTGCATGCTAAATAGGAACGAGAAGATTACGCTTAAACAGTTTATTTATGAATCTGTAGTTACATAATATCTTAAAATGACTCTAAATTCTCTTTATAATAGTAACTAATTGCAACTATCCTCATTATCTGAAGTTTGTATGACAATAATAAGTTTGCATTCTGAATAGGAACGAGAAGATTATGCTTAACCAGTTTATTTATGAATCTGCAGTTATTAGGATATAAAAGTCACAAACCTCTCTTTCTGCTGCTTCCAAGGATTTCCTGCAAGGTCCATCCGCAATGTGTGTTGTTGCATATGGAGTAGGATAGTAGAGAGGGTCTGCACGACTAGGGGGTCTTTGATAGTTTGACTTTTCCATCTCACAAAGGTGAACCGACTCTCCTGCCTGTGACTTTCTGGATACATAAGTTGTACTTGCTATACCAAACAAAAATAGAAAAAAACTGTATTCGCCTTGTATCAAAGGCACATATTGAGTGTATTAGAGCAAATGCATTTTTCTAGAGGTAATATGGTGTAAAGAACTAACTACAGTCGCTGGTCAAATTATTCGACGCACTGTAAGATTCTTTGTAAAATCTTAATTATCAGGTGATACTAGTGCTTTATTATTTTTACACAACTGAAACCGGTTAGCACTTGTTTACGTTCGTGTATCAATTGGTCAAATTAGACGATATATGATATAAATTCGACGATTGGATACATTAGACTATATATTATATAAATATTTGTTATATCAGGTATTATATTAGTATATTATAATAATGAGACCAAATTATTAGACGCACTGTAGTTTTTTAACAATTGCATGTTTTGCAAGAGTTTATATGCAATACTTTTATATTTAAACAAACATGTAATGGGTTTTAATTCTGGAGATTTTTCATATACTTCCTGTTTGCATTTTTTTAACGTATTACATTACAATGTTAACCAATTGATACACGAACATTAACAAGTGCAAACCAGTTTCAGTCATATGAAAATACTGAAGCTGTAGAATATCACCTGATAATTAACGTTGTGCATAAAATCTTATAGTCCGTCATATAATTTGGCCAGCGACTGTATATAAGTGATTAAATTAAGTGAAACCAAAATTTAGTTAGTACCTGTTTGTGAAGTTTCTGTTGGGTTTCGCTTCCTCACTATGAGGCACACAAGTACGAGTACTGCAACCACAACCACCAAAGACAACGAAACAGGAAGAACTACTTCCAGTTCTAAATAGAAAGGCACTGCTTCTCCACTCACTAATACTGCGTCTGGTAAGGCACCTAGAAAAGGAACATTTTAGTTTCGAATTAATCTATCACAAGATTTTTAGTTCAGGGAAAAAACTCCCCTGAAATAACACTGTGATAACTATGCTTCAATGTCTTTGTCCTTAATAGAAAAATGCTAAAATTACTGTTTCGTAACAATTCAACCGCCGAATTAAGAAAGTTTAAACTACAATTTAGTTATAAGGTAAAGATATTTTACATCACTTTTACTAAGGGAATTTACCACGAGCAATTAAAAGCTAAAAAAACTACTTCCTTAAGGTTATAGAAATAACGTATATAAAAATATACTTAATAATATACTTAATAATATGTATAATATACTTAAAATAATTACAAAATGAATTTCAAAACTAATTTTAAATCTAAACTCCCTGCTACTTTTCCATTTTCAGGAAAATTTTCTGTTTTCCAATGGAAATTAAAATGCCATGCTCAGTGTTTATTTTCATTAATTTTTCAAAATCTTATAACATTCCAAAGAAATAAAGCAAAATAATCTTATCCTAAGAGATGGTGACATTTCAAGCTAAATAAAGAAAACAACTAAGAAAAAGAAGAAGAAAAAAATTACCGTTCAAATTAGCTCCTGTAGTGAAGCTATACACTTTAGGTATTTCATTTTTTTATTACTTTATATTTGTACAGTGATTAAAAACTACAGTTTAATTGTATGGTAAAGAAATTTTTACATTACTAACTCTGATGAAATTTACCTTAAGCAATTAAAAACTAAAAAAAAAACACTTTTTTAAGGCTATAGAAATAACGTATATAAAATATAGAAATATAATATGCTTAAAATAATTATAAAAATAATTTCTGATTATTTTTGTAATTATTTTAAGTATATTATATTCCTATACTTTTTGTATATGTTAATTCTATAACCTTAAGATAGTGTTTTTTTTAAGTATTTAATAGCTCGAGGTAAATTTCATCAGTAAAAGTAATGCAAAAATATCTTTACCATATAACTAAATTGCAGTTTTTAATCATTGTTCAAGTATATAATAATAAAAAAAGAAATAACTAAAGTTATTTTTGTTAAAAAAAAATTAGCTATTATCTGTTTATAGATTGTTAAAAATTGCAATTTATACCCCATATATTTTACTCAGAATAAATATCCCTTTGCAGTAATTAGAAAAGTAAAAAATTTTTCTAATGTAATTTACTCGGTTTAGGTATTTTTTTTCCGTCATCCTGGGAATGCTATATGGTACCGTAGCTTTGAGAATTGTGTTCAAATTAATTTTAAAATTATTTTTTACTTCAAAAAATTCTTACTTTTTCATTTTTATTCATTTTTTTCTTAAAAATGAATAAAAATACTTATAATTTAAAAAGCGAAGTATTTCTTTTTTTCAAAAATTGAACTCAGATGGCTTTTTTGCAGTTGTTCTTAAAAAANAAAAAATAGCTATTATCTGCTTATAGATTGTTAAAAATTGCAATTTATACCCCATATATTTTACCCAGAATAAATATCCCTTTGCAGTAATTAGAAAAGTAAAAAATTGTTCTAATGTAATTTACTCGGTTTAGATATTTTTTTCCCGTCATCCTGGGAATGCTATATGGTACCGTAGCTTTGAGAATTGTGTTCAAATTAATTTTAAAATTATTTTTTACTTCAAAAAATTCTTACTTTTTCATATTTATTCATTTTTTTCTTAAAAATAAATAAAAATACTTATAATTTAAAAAGCGAAGAATTTCTTTTTTTCAAAAATTGAACTCAGATGTCTTTTTCGCAGTTGTTCTTAAAAAAATTGTCTTTAACTTTAAATATAATTAACGAAAAAACTGCAAGTTTCTTTAACTGAATACTCTTTGTTTTTTGCGTACTTTTTATTTTTTATACGTTTTTTTCGGTAACCTTAGGAAAGTGTTTTTTTTTTAAGTATTTAATTGTTAGAGGTAAACTTCATCAGTAAAAGTAATTAGAAGTATAATATGCTTAAAATAATTACAAAAAGAAATTTTAAATCAAAACTCCCTGCTAGTTTTCCATTTTCAGGAAAAATTTCTGTTTTCCAATGGAAATTAAAATGCCATGTTCTACGTTTATTTTCATTAATTTTTCTAAAAATCTTATAACATTCCAAAAGAAATAAAGCAAAATAATCTTATCCTAAGAGATGATGTCATTTCAAACTATAAAGTAAGAACTAAGAAGATAAGAGAAAAAAAATCACCTTTCAAATTAGCTCCTGTAGTGAAGTTATACACTTTAGGTATTTCTTTTTTATATTATTATACTATATTTGAACAATGATTAAAGACTACAATTTCGTTGTAAGGTAAAGATATTTTGACATTATTTTTTTGATGAAATTTACCTCTAGCAATTTAAAATTAAAAAAAATCTACTTTTTTTAAGGTTATAGAAACAACGTATATAAAAAATATAGGAGTATAATATACTTAAAATAATTACAAATACAGTTTTGAATCAAAACTCTCTGTTAGTTTTTCATTCGCTGGAAAAACTTCGTTTTCCCCTGGAAATCAGAATGCTCATGTTCTCTGTTTATTTTCATTTATTATAAGTATTTCCTTTATAATTATTATGTATTTGAACACTGATTAAAAACTACAACTTAGTTATAAGGTAAAGATATTTTACATTACTTTTACTAAGGAAATTTATCACGAGCAATTTAAAACTAAAAAAAACCACTTTCTTAAGATTACAGAAATAATGTATATAAAAAATATTGAAATATAATTTAATAAAAATAGTTACAAATATAATTTCTGATTATTTTCGTAATTATTTTAAGCATATTACATTTCGAATTACTTTTACTGATGAAATTTCCCTACAGCAATTAAAAACTAAGAAAAAAAACACTATCTTAAGGTTATAGAAATAACGTATATAAAGAAAAATATAGAAATATAATATACTCAAAATAATTATATATAAAAAATAATTACAAAAATAAATTTTAAATCAAAACTCCCTGCTAGTTTTCCATTTTCAGGAAAAATTTCTGCTTTCCAATGGAAATTAAAATGCCATGCTCTACGTTTATTTTCATTAATTTTTCTAAAAACCTTATAACATTCCAAAAGAAATAAAGCAAAATATTCTTATCCAAGGAGATGATGTCATTTCAAGCTATAAATAAAGAAAAGAGCTAAAGAAGAAGAGAAGAGAGGAGGAAAAAGAAATCACCTTTCAAATTAGCTCCTGTAGTGAAGATATACTCAGCTTCAGTATTAGGTCCGGCTTCATTGTGAGATGTCAGCTGTAATTGATAAAATGTGTTCGGTGTGAGTCCAGTAATTGTGATGCTCTTCTTATTCGATGACACCCTGTCGGCAAAAATGACCCACGTTTTCTTTTTCTGCTGCTTGTACTTTATTTCGAAGTGTGTGATTGGACAGCCGCCCGATTTCCACGAATTTAATTGGATTGTGACGGAAGTAGCATTGACGATGAGAAGTTCTTCCTTCTCGGGGGCAATGGGGGCTAGAAATAAAAAAATAAATTCAAAAGTTGATTGTCAAGCACAAAAGCTAGTTTCATCTCTCAGATTGCTTCTGAATCGTAATAATTCTATAATTCAATAAACTATTTTAGATTACTGGGGAAAGAGGAAACCAAACACCCCTCCCAAATTAATATTTAACCCCTTTCTTCTCGATTCCGTGATAATTCCGGGTTGAGTGTTCAGTAGTAACGCGCCAATAAGAATAAAACTAATTCATTTCTTTTGCCCGGAAAACATCTTATTTCTCATTTTACACACCAGATGGCTGCACCAGGATATTTTTAAGGTAATTGTAGATAGTTAGTTTATTTTAAATTAGATGTCAGCACTAATCAAATACGTATGTAAAAAATAGGCACTTTTATGGCCATTCCCGATCGTTAAGGGGTTAAACGAAGACAAAAAGAGATCTTATCAATATATGACTGATCATTATTGAGAAAACAAGACTAAACCGTCAGAAACTGTTTAATTGATTTAAGGAAATGAAATAACTCGAAAGGCAAAACATAAGAAAAGCGTTCAAGTTTCTGTGTTGCAATCAAACAGGATTTGTTGTTTTTAATCCCCCATTTCTTAATAATAATTTGCATAGATAGCATATTTGTTTTTTTTTGTAAGCTTTTCTTTCTTAAAAATTGCTTTTAATCGAATATTTGAAATATCTTTCATTTAATCTATCTTTTCAAAAGGTACGGTGTATTTTTATTATAAAACTGTTGTTTTTACAAGTGATTTGCTTGGATATATTTTACCTCTTCCGCTTGTCCTAGTTTCCACGATTTCACTTTGTTCTCCGTTTCCATTAGCGTTCGTAATGTAGAACTCATATCGCATTCCACACTGGAGGTTAATAAGTGTGTATGTGTTCAAATCTCCAAATACTTCTTCGGCCCTCCATGTTCCATATTCTTTTTTGTAATGCACTATGAAACCTGAAATATATAAAGGAAAAAAAAAGCAATTACGAAAATGGCGTAAAAATGACTTTCTATTATACTGCACAGCTTTATCACCATCAAAGGATGTAATTTGTAATTATTAGTCAGGTTTGTGGAGTGTTTATCCGCATAAAGTTTTGAAGTTTTAAATTACGTCTTGAGAGCCGCGATGACTCAGGAGATAGAGCATTTGCCTTCCAATGAGGCGAACCGGGTTCGAATCCCAGTCGATATGAATTCCGCATCCGGTTTGCTCCGATCACAGTGCTGACGTGAAACATCCGCAGTGGTAGATGGATCATGGGTTAGAGTCCCCTTGCCGTCAGGCTAACTGTGGGAGGTTCTCGCTTGTCGTCCTCTCCATATAACGCAAATGCGAGTTAGCTCCATCAAAAAGTCCTCCACTTAGGCAAATTTCTTCCAATACTCGATCCAGGAGTTCCCTTGTCTTTTGGATTAGGTTCAAAATTACAAGGCTACGGAAAGGAACATTAATAGTCGTAAACCCATAAAATTAGGTCGGCTGTTCAACGACGACTTCGAAAAAAAATTACGTCTTGACCGGGATAGCCTGGTTGGTACCGTACTGGGCCCATGTCCAATAAGCCATGGATTCGATCCCAGACTGCCGAAGACGCCCCTGTAGTGAAGGGTGTAGTCACCTTAAATCAGTTGAGTCGCAAAATCCTCCATATTCTCATAACAAATCATAGCTCTGGGGGTCCTGATCCAGGAATTTCCTTGTCTTCTGGATTGGGTTCAAAATTACAAGGCTATGAAGTAGAACATCAGCAATCGTATTGGGTTGTCTGTTCAATGACGGTTTTGAAATAAATAAAAAAAAACTGCGTCTTGAAGAATAATTGCAATGACTACTTTTTTGTTGCAAAATTCAATTTTGATTATTTTTATTCAATTAAAATATGAAATATATTTTTGTGGTACAATTAAATATTACACGGGCTCTATTCAAAAATTCAAATTTCAGTGTCCAGTAAATTGTTTTGTGCAGTTTTCACACCATGCTAATTGTAAATGGTTTCAGCAAAGAAAAAATAAAAGAATGAAAAAGGTTCTTTACCGTAAACTTTTCGGTTAATTGGATGGACGGACAGTTTCTAGTTATTTTACCGTAATATCAGAATGAAAATTCTATCAATCCTAAAAAATCTAGTATCAGAAAACAAAATTTTAATAATATTTTTTACTTATTTCGACCTTAATTAAAACAAAATAAAGAAGATAATTAAATAAAAAACAAAATCAACAAAAAAGTTGTGATCGTCTTATTACAGTCACTGGTTATCCATTGGTCAAATGTTTTTCCATTCTGCATTGACTCCGTTAAACGCCGCAACATTTCAAATCATGGGTTAAAACCTGTCTCAATTGATGTTTGTCGTCGGATTGATTTTCAAATCCTGCCTATGTACGTGTTTCAAGACGTCACAAAATACTATTCCTTCTTCAGCATTCATATTTATATTGAAATCACAGTCAAGCCTGTCATTATACGTTAATAATAAAAATAATACACAAATACTTTAAATTATTATTATGTAAATACACTAAAAATGCTTGCTAGTGAAAATAAGAAGAAAAACAGCAGCGGTCGCCATAGCAACGCATGTGCACTGTTTACTATTACTCCCGAAAGCAGTTGAAAAGTGCGTGGACGTCATCAAACCCAAACCAAGACCCATTTTCTCCTATTGGGTCAAATATTTTAAACCTTAATTTTTTTTTTACAGAATTTAAGTTTTTTTTTCAACACAAAAAAACTTAAAATCGTAAAAAAGAAAGTATTTACGTACTATTAACGTATGAAAAAGAAAACTATTTACGCGTAAAAGAAACTATTTACGCATGAAAACTGTGTGATTTAGACAAAGGTATCGTGTGTCCAGACTTCGATGAAAATGTGACTCTTACGTTCTCATAAGAGTCCTGAAATATATTTGAAATAAATGAAAGCGACTATTTCCTCTCGTCGTCACCACCGAGACTGTCAACGCACATCTCAAAAAAAGGGGAAATGCGCTCTGAAAAACGAAAGCCCAGAACGCTCTTTTTGAAACGCGAAAATGAAGAAATATGTCAAGCATTTTCAATCTCCTCTCTCTCTTTTCCTTTCTTTTTTTGCCACTCACCTTTAGTTGGCAAAGAGTCTGTTCCATCCCTTTTCCATTTCAGCGTCACTGATGTTGATGTCACTCCTAAGATTTCTAAGGTGGGCGGTTTTGGAGGATCTGAAGTTCAAATAAAAAAAAAAGAAAGAAATGAGAAGATCAACTGTTATAAAAATTTCCTTTTAAATATTTGGTTTAGGATTTCTTTCAATGAAATATGGAATAAATGTAAAAATGCATCTATATATATATATATATA